TATTCGTATCGGCGCTGACGCGCGATCATTGAGAAATCGTACATGGTATTATACCTTTTCTCGATGACACAGAATATTATGAGAGCTTCAATATCGTTACATAGACACGTCTGGTGTGTACACAATGAATAGTCCGGCTGATAATATAATGTCGGCAATGAACCAAACAGCCACCACTATGAAACACATCTTACCCATGCTTCCACCTTCAGCTTCGCCTACGCAGGTGACGACCACACACCATATTACCACGCCGGTCACTGTCCAAACGATGCAAACTTCTACGGTACAAGCGCAACCACAACCGCAGGTACACTTGACGAATTTTCTCTAAACTTAATAAATAACTTTCTTCAAAATTATCACGTTAACACCTTATATAGTATCAGTTATCACAAGTTTCAAATTGATTTTCTGAAACAATCGTTAATCTAATCAGAGCATCGGCAGTTACGGTTAAGTTACCCTACGAGCGGAATCTAGAACATTTGAATTATCCAATGAGAGTTCAATCGTAGAGCCTTTTGACTTGATTCCCTCTAGTGCAGTTGGATCAGCATTAGTTCTTGGTTCAAGGCTACGATCTTTTCAACAAAGATACAGACTGGCGTGGCCTTGAACAATCAATTAAACTTGATCTTACTCGACACGTTCGGTACGTTATACCGAAGACCATTGAGTACATCGCTTCTTTAATAATTATATAAACTAATTATATAACGTTTATACCGTTAATAATATAGCCACGACTTATGTAATCGATAATACTTTAACTGTCTGTTGCACATTAGGCAATGCAACAGTCTTCTTGCAGCCAACAAATGTTATTAAATACAAACAACCAAGCACACCAGCCACAAAATAGCCCCGGTTCACCGAAGGACAATTCCAACGCGCACAGCCCCCAAGCATTGAGTCTCAGCCCTTTACACAGTCCGATGAGTATAGGAAGCCCGTTGTCGCCAACTCGTGTCTTCGTAAAAGGCGAGCCGGAACGGGGGCAGTACAAGGAACAGAGAAGAGTCGGGCATATTCACGCTGAACAAAAGCGCAGATATAATATTAAGAACGGATTCGACATGCTGCACAGCCTGATACCGCAACTCAGCCAGAATCCAAACCCGAAACTGAGTAAAGCCGCCATGCTGCAAAAGGGGGCGGATTATATCAGACAGCTGAGGTCGGAAAGGAATCAATTGAAGGAAGAAATGGATAGTTTAAGACATCAAATCGAGTGCCTTAATACGTCGATTAGGTAACAAATGTCCCATGGGGAACAGACTTTTCTATTTCTATTTCTAATGTTGTGTACTCACTTCATAAATCGTACATTGTTGCAGTAACTGTCAATCTATGCTTCCCGCAACGGGTGCTCCGATTTCTAGACAGAGGACTAGCAAAATGAAGGAGATGTTCGACGAGTATGTGCGCACGCGTACGCGAGAGAATTGGAAATTTTGGATTGTATCCTTTATCAAACACAGTAATGTAGCGCGTGCTTTGGCGAATTGGCGTTAACATACATCGAATAATGCAATTTATATTTCCTAACATAATAATTAGTTCAGTATATTGCTTGAGCCTCTGATGACTTCTTTCAATACTTCGGTATCAACAGCAAGTATCGAGGATTTATACAGAAGTACAATATTATGGGTCGAGCAGCATTGCTCACTCGTCGATCTCAGACCAGGTAGAATAAGATATCCATTGCTTATGCAGATTTTCTTATCCATTACTTATGCAGGTTTTCTTCTAATATTGCTTCGTTAACTCGTGTTCTTGCTTTTTATTTTAGCCGTTCTGAACTCCCTAAGGTATCTGTGCACTGCCACTGATATTCTGTCAGATCCTGGTCGCCTACCCGAAGAAGCACTCGCAGCAGTAAATCGCACGGAACGGCGACGATCAACTCAGTGACCAATTATGTTACGCAAATTCGTCGTGATACGTATTTGCGTACACGTTTAAGATTTAGTCGCGTACGAGCAGGAAAAGAAACAGTTACCGTAGCTTAAGTCACTTTAGGAAAAACTTACTTGAAAAGAATTCTTAAAACGGTCTTTTTTTAAAAGTAGGCTTTCAGGTTTCCTTCCGCAACGATCATAGTTGAGGAAAACACTTAAGTGCAATTTTCCCCGTGCCCTTGTCAAAATTGTGATCACGAGATTTGTAAAACCATACAAAAGAAGTGCGGGAAAATGTAAATGAATAGAATTGTGAACGATGTTTAATGAACTATAATATATATATATATATTTATATATATTATATATATGTACAGACTGTTAAAAATTGGAATACGCTGATATTTTAAAAACAATTTTCTTACATAAGAGTTATCGCAATTATTCGTATTGAATATTAACAAACTGAAAGTACATTTATATTTATTACATAATTGTGTAGTTCGCATATTTACGTTCATCCAGCATTAAGGAATTATTACATCTTTGAATTGCGGTAACGAAACTCGAGACAAATTTGTTTGTTCTCTTTTCATTGACTCATTGAATTTGTTGTAGTACTTGCCTACATGTTTACGTAATATTTAAAAAGAAAACAAGGAGAATATGTAGAGCAAACCATTCCATTAAATTTCTACTATGCTTATTTTGGACTAAGTATGACATTCTTGGCATTGACTAAAATGTTGATATTTTACGAAACTTATCTTACGCTAAAAATACAGAATTAGTGTTTTTTTTTTCTTTTTGAAATTGTTCTATTTCTTGTTAAATAATGTTTCTTTTTACTTTTAAGACGAAGACATTTGTAAAAATATATTGCGGACCCGAAGATAATTGTCGGTATATTTTTATAATAATCAAAATATACATAATTTTATGTTGCAAAATCTATCTTTGAATATTCTTTTACCGAAATTAACATACAAAATAATTATTTATGTTACAAAATGCGGATAACTGTTAAAATTTTTATATACTATATTTCAATGTACCTTAACTAGAACCGGTGCCATGAAATTGTATTGTAATAAGAAACTGGAGTTAGAAAACTATGCCTTTTGCAGTGAAAAATACAGTTTAAATTTGACTTAACATTTTAGAACTAATTTTAATTACGAATTACCCTCTATAATGAATATACAACCATTGATATTCGTATAGTAGCACAATGCTTGGAAAATAAAAACATTTCTATTGGAAAAAAGATCAACTGCGCGAAGTTAAAAAAAATGGGTTGCTCACAAATTAAAAGTATATATTATATACTAATAATGTTATGAAATATGAAATTTTTAATGTGAAATTTCATGTGATAATGTACAAATCATTTATAAAGGTTCAAATATTAGACCTTAAGCTGTAAAAAACTTCTGTATATTGTAACAATGTTATTGCCTTTACATAATTGTGTATAACAGAACGTTGTAAGCGGTGAACAATCTTTAGTAATTTCTTACAATTACCTTCTGTAATAATCGTTAAAAGAAAATTTACATATTATAGACGCTTATTCCATTAATGTTAACAATATACAGATGCCTTTTACTTACAATTTTTCATTGTATATGTATAAGTGATAAATAATATAAACAAATCAACGAAGGGATGTTTTTTTTGTACAATATGTATCATATAATCGTATAAAAACTCATGTACTGTTATTCGAAAATTTACTTCTATAAAGAAAATTTAAATTTAATTAACTTTCTCTTACTTTCTTATGCTGCCCTACATTAGAAATGGTTTATCACAATAAAAATACTATAGGTTTTCTATTATCTTAGCAGACATTAAAATGTCCATAGTCATTTACATTGCTGTTGCAATGATTCTTTAAAAATAATGTTAAATATTTTATTAATTAATAAATTACTAGTAATAGTTTATGTTGAAACAACAATCGTATAAAAATAGTCACTCTTATTTTTATTACAGTTTTTAAAATTTCAAACAATTTATTAACTAATTGGCAAATGAAATAATTTATATTATTGGGATAAAAGTTAAACATTTATCACAGACCAAATATAAAGATGTACTATTCTTTTCTGAAAGTGGTAAGATACCAGGTGTCTCCTTACAGATGCCAGAATGAGTACTTACACACTTATTTATTACCTGTCCTAAGCTTTTCAAATTCATACTACTGTCTAATACAAAGTTACAAGACTTGCATGTTATTTGGCTTACACTTTCTGTTAGATTAGACACTTGACACTTAGGGCAAATAACTTCTGCAAATTCTTGGTCTGCTGTTAATGCTAGAAATTCAATTTCTTCTTGCGCCATTCTTTCATACTCTTGTAAAATCCATTGTTCTGTATATAATGTACAAGATGTTAAATATGATATAAACTACTTTATACTCATTGTATCATTTGTATGTGTAAGTACAAAAGAGTTAAAGTATACAGAATAGACATATGCATAAGTTAAAAGATTTATTGAACTTACCTTCTTCCCCAAGTATTTCACTTTCAAGTTCTAGAGCTTCCTCTGGATCAAGAGGTTCGTCGATTACTTGAGAAAATGGATTCACATCTGGATCTAGATCCGTAGCAGCAATATTATTCAATTCTTTACGTACGATTTCGGTTAACGTTTCCTGAACATCTTTCGAATTGATTTCTAAACCAAATCTACCTCTATTAAACAACCGTCTCCGATTCTCTCGCATTCTCTGCCGACACCTCTGGAATCAAGTTCGATTGTTAACATACTAAATCGAGGCATAATTATTATATTGCAATTAAATTTTCGATGCTCTTTGAATGCATAAAATGACGATTAACCTCTCTTAGGACTTCTTGCAATTTTGGGGATCCATGTCTAATTTTATTCACACACTCTCGATTTTTTAATTTTGTCTTCATTGTTGGGCTTAGTGTGATATTTTCCATCTCGTTCGTACACTGTATCATGTTCAAAATTTCACGTAAAATGAATAGTGCAAAGTATATAACTTCAACGTAAATGATTTCAAGTGAGCAGGAGCGGACTAGGGTCAACGGTCAACTACGTCAGACGACATTGACAATTCCAGTAAAGTGCGGTAAATTTATTCTGTCTGTTTAAAGCGTTCATTAACACATGCGATTTGTACAGTTTGATATATTCAACTCGATCAAAAATATGAACTCATCGTTAGTCGTTCGTTAAGTAAATAAGCTCTCACGAATATGCCTCTAAAAAATATAAAAGTATTAGAATTAGCTGGATTAGCACCGGGGCCCTTTTGTGGAATGATATTATTAGAATTTGGTGCATCAGTTATTAAAGTAGATAAGGTATAGTTGAGAGAGACTTATTCAAAACTGCAAATGAGAAATACTTTCAAAATTTGCGTTTTTAATTTGTTTGTTTTTAATTTTCCTAGACTGTTGGATCACATGCTCACCCTGATGCTCTTAGCCATGGAAAGAGATCAATTGCATTGAATTTAAAAACTGCAGAGGGTACTAAAATATTTAAACAGTTGAGCGATCAAAGTGATGTACTTATAGATCCATATAGACCTGGTTTGTATTTTTTGTGATAATATTATAATTGGTAATTTGCAAGTATTTATTTATAGAAACTTGTGTTTTTTCAAATTGCTTAAATAAAAAAAGATAATATCAATTCAACAGGGGTGATGGAAAAAATGACTTTGGGGCCACACAATCTTATGAAAACAAATAAGGGACTTGTATATGCTAGATTAACAGGATTTGGCCAAAAGGGACCTTATGCACATATGGCTGGCCATGATATTAATTATTTAGGTTTATCTGGTAATATGAATTTATTATATTTGTAGCATTGATAAAAGAATTTGTATTTTATAATACTTTTTATAATACATAGGTTTATTATCTCTCTTTGGCCGTTACAATGAAAAACCAATACCACCAGTTAATTTGGCTGCTGATTTTGGTGGTGGTGGATTAATGTGTGCCTTTGGAATAATGTTAGCATTGTTTGAACGTAATAAAAGCAAGTTAGGTCAAGTGGTTGATACATCAATGGTAGATGGAAGTGCTTATTTAGGTAGTTGGTTATATAGAACTCAAAAATCACCTTTATTGTGGGGAAATCCACGTGGTAAGAATATGTAAGTATTCAGTTTCAGACTGGTACCAAATGCATTTAATGTATTAATTAACTTTTAATCATTTATAGTTTAGATACAGGATCACATTTTTATGATACTTATGAAACAAAAGATAAACAATATATGTGTGTTGGAGCACTGGAGCCACAATTCTATGAGGAATTTTTAGAAAAACTTGGCCTTTCGATCGACGAATTTCCGCAATTTGATCAATTTGAAGAAAGTCGTTTAAAATTAGAAAATATATTCAAACAGAAAACTCAGGCTGAGTGGTGTGCTATATTTGACAATACAAATGCTTGCGTAACACCTCTCCTAAATTTAAACAATGTTTCAAATCATGTGCACAACAAAGAACGAAATACATTTATATCTGGGGAAGATGATTTAATAATGCCAAAACCAGCTCCTCAGTTGTCTCGTACTTCTGGTAAATCAAAGGGGCGCGAAACGATTCCTGACGCTGGCGAGCATACAATAGAAATTCTCGCGGAATTGAATTTCACATCAGAAGAAATTGCTAACTTAATATCAACTGGAATTGTTACTCAGGGAATGAAATCCTCTAAACTTTAAACACACGTTACTTACTAACTTTTGTTGTAATTATTTTTGTACTTTTTAACACGAAAGTGTTTTATAGATCGGCGGGATTTTGGTGAAAAGTGTGACGAAAAAGCGTTACGCTATATCAAATCTTTTACTAGAAGAAACCACTGAATCTCCTCTCTGCACACCAGTACAGCGGTGCAGAGAGGATTTATTTGTATATATGCTCAATAAAACATACTGTAAGATTGAAAACAATTCATAGCATGGTTTCTTTATAAACATTTCCTAAATATATCTCTCTTAAAAGTGTTTCTAGAGTAGTCGTCCCAGACTGCCCACATTTATTCGACTGTTCATTGACTTTCTACAAACAATTTAGGCTCCTTATGTAAATAATGAGCATAGAAAATAACAAAATGGTTAGCGCATGTGTAATTACGCCAATAAATAATTTTTAAAAATATTTAATATTCGTTTTAGTAACTGTGGTAGACGTACTCATCAGCGTCGATAAAAAGATTTATGAAGACCGTCGATAAAGAAGAACTAACTGTTAACTTGATGATACTCGATGTTATTCATTTGATTGTCTTTTGTGAAATATAATTTAATTTTGTTTGCCTTTCAAATATTTTAATGCACTTTCTGTCAATCCATTAAGCAAGAGAGATCGTTTAAAATAAATACCAGAAATTGTTATTCAATCAAAACTTTTATTTAGTCTACATTAAAATATAATATGGGTAAATCTTTCCCATATAACCAGAACTAGTGGCGCTATCGGTGGCAAAACGCCCAAGTTTGTCGAGGAATAGTTCTAGGTTTTACCGCTAGATGGCGCTATCAAGGTCAAAATATCGACATTACAGTATATTTAAATAAATTGTTTTATTAAATTAAATAATAACAATTTAACTATACTACTAGTATAGCAGAGCTTTAAAGCGTATTAAAATTAAATTAGGATAAGCTTTTTTAACTTTTAATTTATTCTTTAAGTAGTGGCGCCATCTAGCGGTAAAAACTAGAACTATTTCTCGACGAACTTGGGCATTTTGCCACCGATGGCGTCACTAGTTCTGGTTACTAAAACAAATATTAAATATTTTTAAAAATTATTTATTAGCGTAATTACACATGCGCTAACCATTTTGTTATTTTCTACGCTCATTATTTAATTTTTTATCAAGTTAATTGTAAGGAAAATGAGATATTAAGGGGTAAATAGTGTCATATATATACATATATTTTGAAAATTAATTCGGCCTTCTGGCCGCGAAATGGCGATACCGTTTTCGTGTCCATGAATCGCAAGTTTGTACTTATATGGAAATTAAACTATTATGCCTGCATGTATTTTGATAAATTTGGCATAATCAAACATGCTCTAACCATTTTATTATTTTCTATACTTATTATTTACATAAGGTGCCTAAATTGTTTGTAGAAAGTCAATGAACAATCGAATAAATAGCGGTGACCGTTTCGTTACCAAAAAATGATCTGTAGGTGTAGTTGACATTGACAATACTTGCTTAATTCGATTGTTTATTAATTTTCTGCTAACAATCGAAATCGTAACAACAGTGGTCTTCGAATGTTCCTATAAACTCAGACTTTATACCGGGAAAATTATTTGCAGAAAAATAATAAACAATCGCAATAGTTTATAATTTTTAGTAAATTTTTATTGCTGACATTAAAGTCTCTAGCTAGTGAAAGTGTTCCTAGAACGTTGGTAATATCGGTTCTTGCGGTGTATGGAAGATAAATGTTGTTGTGATCTGTAACCAAGTAGATTTAATTGTTTATAGACAAATTTGTTTATATTATTATCAAAATGAATCCAACGGAGCCCACAAGTACGGAAACCTTAAGGTAAGTTAAAGATTGTGAGATATCAGAATAATATTACGGAAGAGTTTTTGCGATTACATTTAGCAAATTGCCGGTCCGCGATTTATAACATGTATTTTCGCAGTAAATATATAATAAGATATAAGAATATAATTTTGAATTTTTCAATTGTCTATTTTACAGTTCCAAAATGAAAGATGTTATCGACGTCTTAGCTATGCAACGGGAAAAGCGAAATACTTTACAAAAAAGTATAACTATCGATTATACCAAAAGTACCGATAGTTTTACAGTTTCGCGATTCATATTCGAGTGCGGTGAGTCTATGATTTATTATAATTTCATTTCAAAATTAAATTGCATCTCGAACACAGATATTCATGATTTTAATAATTGTAGGTTTAAAATTAGAAGCCCATCCATTAACTATCGCCACAGCTGCAACTTTATATCATAGGTTTTTAAAGGATGCTGCTCCTGGAGGTTACGATAATTATGTAAATAAGTTGTCAACATTATTTATGGACATCACACATTTTAGATAATTACATTTACGTAAATTTATCTATGTTTCAGCTAATTGCTGCCACCTGCCTTTATTTAGCAGGAAAAGTAAAGGATGATAATCTAAAAATAAGAGATGTAATGAATGTATCTTACAGTACTCTGCACAGAGGATCCCAACCATTAGAATTAGGAGATCAGTATTGGAGTATGAGGGACGCGATTGTTCAAGCAGAACTTTTAATTATGCGTATGCTAAAGTTTCAAGTAACTCCTGTACATCCACATAAAGTAATTACTAAATATTTTTTTATTTGTGGTAATTAATAATAAAATTTGCATTAAATATTTTAATTTTATCATTTTAGTATATGTTGCATTATTTACGATCTTTACAAGCATGGTTTGGAGAAGAGGAATGGTCTAAGTATCCTGTTGCCAAGACTAGCATGGCACTCCTGCAAGATTTTCATCATTCCCCTGCTATACTTGATTATCCACCGAATTTAATAGCAATTGCTTGTATTAATCTATCATTACAAATTTACGGCGTAGTAGTACCGTTAATGGATGAATGCGATCAACAGCCTTGGTTTAATGTAAGTGTTAAAAGTGATAATCAAGGTTGTAACCATAATAAATTAATTGCACACGTAACCTTTTAGGTTTTTTGTAAGGAATTGACAAGAGACAAGCTTTGGGAAATAATGGAAAAAGTTATGGCGGCGTACGACGAAGAACCAGAAACTAGAGATAACTGATGCACTGTAATCTATCCTTAATGTATAAAACATTCAGATTCATTGTATATTACACAGTTCTGGCATTCCTCTCATGAAAAACTGATAATGACAGAGTACAAAAATAAATCAAGATCCTGTATTTTGTATTTTTTCCAGACCATTGATGGTTTCTTTTAATTAATAAACAATATATTAATAAAAATATAAATAGTTTGTGATTCCCTAAACATGCTTTTCAATATTTATACTACCCATCCAATTCCTTGATATCCCTCTGAAATAAAGCAAAATGAAAACATACACTAGCGAAGTTTAATTCTAATAAATGAAATTTGTATATATTTTCTATTTCGTAATTAAGAAATCTTACGGAAAATAAAATTTATGAAGCACGAGTAAAAATCTATAATGATACGTAAATAAATCTTACACGAATAAAGAAAGTTATAATTATTTAAACGTTATTTTTTCGTAGAATGTTATTAAATAAAATATAACATTGTTTTGGTAATGTTTTTTTATGAATATAATTAAATGTGATTGATCCTGTGAGAAGCATTCTGCATCGCGTCCTAATACAACTTGTTTCGATTGGCGTGAAGTTAGTCGTTAGCAATTTACTATTGTTGTTACTATTGCTATTGTATATATGTATGATAAACAATACTTTTGTTGATTACAAGAAGTTGTTTATTTATTGTATTCGAATGCTAACGAAGATTCTCCCGACGTGTCTTGTTTATTTCGCAGCGTCGTGAATACACGTTCGATTTATAAGAACATTGAACATGACGTTATTGCGCGGTGAATATTTACGTGACCTGTGCAAGAGAAATTTGAAATAATTTCACAAAACTTTAATGACACTTTATAAAACACGATGACGACGATAGAGCAAATAGACACATCGTTACCGTTGAAAAAAGAACGAGAGGAATTCAATATCGAAGACATTAACGATGACAGTAGCCTCGAAGATATTAACAATCTCCTGTCAATATCATTACCATCTCTTTCAGCAAACAAATTACATTTTCCCACTGATCCTAACGATGAATTTCTTCGACTGACTACCACGGTATGTTTTTCTCTTTATACAAAAAAATAATCATGTATTAAACTTGATTTAATTGTTCATAAATGATGAAATCGAAAGATGTTTACAGTTTGCAGATTAATGAATTAAAAATGAATTAATATCAACAAATTATCTGTATTACAGGTCCGTTCTGTGTATTTTTCGTATCTTCATAAATGTTTACTCACCAATTACATTCTTTGCTATAAAGATAAAAATGAGGATATTCCATGCGATCGCTTGAAAAAGTGTGCGAATCAAATGGAGTTATATGCAGTTCGATCTTCGTTAGAAGCTACTTTGTATAGGCAAAATATGTTAAAGTTGGTAAGTTTAAGTATCAATATTATATGGAATGTAACAAATTGATTAGTAATTGAAGTTAAGATGCTTATATATATGTACACAGATTTCAGATGTTAAGTCTCACACCATAGACAAGAAAACTTATAAGAAATTAGTAATAGTTTTAGAAACCCCGCCAACTAAAGTAGACATTGGAGTTCAAACAATGAATTCATGGGCAGAGTTAGAAAGAGCTGATAACATTCAAAGTATCTGTATTACATCTAATTGCGAGGAACTATCCTCTGAGAGGCAAATGTCGCCTATCAAAAAGGAGGAGGATGTGACAAACAAAATTGTAACTCAAAATAATACTCCCGAAATTTGTGGTTATAGTGATACAGCTTCACCTATTGTAAATTCAACTTGCTTTGATGATATGGAAGATACTAAATTAAAAAATGAGTCAGACGAAGAGACCACTAATAAAATGGAACTCGACGACGAACAGACAACTCAAGATTGCAATATTTTTAATCGTATGCAAGATGATACGAGTACTCAGATTACACAGAACCAATTCGTTATTCAAAATGATGATGAAAATTCTCAGGACTCTCTATTACAACACATGGAAGACATGTTTTGCGATAGCGACGATAGTAGCGATCTCATGACGTTAATTGAAAAACATTCGGGTGTTAGTAAAGCTAACATGGATAAAGAGATAAATAAAATATGTTTAGAAACAGATTCTCTCCTTCCATATAATTCCAATGATAAAAATTGCATATCCGAAAGTAAAAATGGTACAAAGTCAAATCTTGTTAAAAGCAGTACTGTAAAACAATCGAATATAAGTACGGGAAAGTATAGTTTTAGTTACTATAAGGAGATGAAAAGCAGAGAAGCTAATAAATCGGTGTTACCAGAACCTGAAACCCCAGAAAGTAAACAGAAACGCAGAGCGAATAGTATTTGGTTCGTTGAACGTGTATGTCAAGTATCGAAATTAAAAACGAAAATGACAGAATTGTCTTTGAACAATTACAGAAAATATGGACGGGTAAAACAAAAATTTGTTGAATTGTTTGGAGAATCTGACGACGAAGAAACGATGCCAGAATCGCCGATTTGTATCGAAGATCATTTAACTGCATGTAAGGAGAGAATAGCCCCATGGATTGTAAAACATTTAATGCCATTTTATAAGAAACGACGAATTAAGGATAGACAACTTTTTAAATTAGTTGCAAAACACATAGCCGATATGCTCATTATCGAGAATACATTTCCTGGTTAGTATTGCGGTACTGTATTTTATTAAAGATTTAATGATAGTAGCGAAGTAATGTAAAAATTAATATAGATGTTTTTTCATCCAATATACTTTTTATTTTTCAGAGCCAGACTGCGTGAGCAAATATATAGAAACATACTTCAAAAATAAAAAATTCATTAGAACTAAACAGGATGTATACTTATAAATTACATAGTTACTTTAATCGATTAAAGAGGGGAAAGAAAGTATTCCTATCGCTTTACTAATGTAGACTTTTAAAGATTTCAAATTCGGAGCCACACGAAGAGTGAAACTGTACATATTATTTTAAAGAGAAAAATGCAATAAAGGAGTATGTTGAATATTGATTGTCCAAAGATATGTATACAGAAAGAATGCAGTATAAATGGGAAAGCGTGATAACTATTTTGCGTATAGAAATTTTGTTGAAGAACAATATAAAATTTTTCCATGAATATCCGTTAAAGCAATGCATCTTGAATAAGCGGCACTGCTTCTCTGTTTCATAAGTTCCTTACATATTTTTTTTAAACGAAGTAGAAATTCTTATAATTTTTTTACCAAACATCGAAGCTTTAAAGTAGTATGTAAGTCACAGTCTCAATTTTGTTATGCTTATTATTTATATTGATATACAATACTTCTATCTATATGTGAGTGTATATGCATGCGCATAAACGCACACATAAATATATGTACATTATAGTAATGAAATACACGTAATAAAAGTTCTCTTGTAATATAAAGTATAACTTAAACGAAAAACGGTAAAACAGTTTAATCTATGCCCTGTACACAGTCCCTTTGATAATTATGAACCTTTGAAGTGATGCTTATAATATAAATTTAAAGAATATAAAAACACAACGTACAAGTTATTAATTTTACTGTTGATTTCAGTACAATAGCAATCTTATCCTTGTATCCTATTCTCACAATGAAACAAGAAGTATATAACAAGGAGATTCAAAACGCCTTAGTTATATATGCTTTATCATTAATAAACAAAGAATTATGATCAGTAAATTTTATACTTTTAACATTTCTTCGTGTAGAGAATATCAAATTATAAACAATTTTCAAAAGATTTACCTCCATTTATAACTGGATTTATCTTATTTACCTATTTGCAATAGCACTGTTTACAAATAAATCTTTATGCTATTTACAAGTTATCCAGTAAAAAACTGTATAGCGAAAGATGAAGTTTTTACTTTATATTTTTTTTAGATGTCAAAATATATTCCTATGATGACACTACAAATATATAAACAATTTTATTCTAACTACTTCAAAAATGCAGAAGAGTTACTTATTATTTTTCTACTGAACAACTTGTAATAGTTTTCATCTTGATATTTCGTTTGTAAGCCATATTTTGAAATTTATAAATTTCATATATTTATATATTAATTGAACTGTTGTATACAATTGTTACTCTGCAAACTCTGAAAGTGATAAATGTCAAATTATAAATTTTTGCATAAAAAACCAGTACTATTATAATACCTTTAAACAAAACAAATGAAAAAATTTTATTATATTTTGCAGTGACTAATAATGATGCTTAGTAAGAAGATCCTTCCAAATGTTTAATTTTAAACATAAATACTTTCACAAATAAGTATTGTAATTTGACATCACAGTATTGAAAGCTCGATTAAATATTGCATAAATACGGAAGGATCTGATAAAAACTTTAGAATAAATTTTTAACACACTCAAATATGACTGTAATATCGAAGGTGGGGAGGAAAATATACTTGCGATAAGTCTTATTGTAACTTATGTATTACGTATTTTTCCAGGTACGTAGTTCTTGTCTATTACAGGTTCTTGCAGAAACATATGCAAACATCGTTCATTTTGTGCTAATGGGTGGCCTGCTATTCTGAAATATTAATGAAATATTTTTCATATAAAAACTTGTTCACATTAAATATACTTTATACTACATTAAAGAATATTCTATTATACATACTTATTAACAAATTCTTCTAAGCCTTTCCTTCTGTCTTCAATAAACTCATCTTCAAAAATACCATCATCTCCTCGAAAAGGCATTTGGCGTTTCCAAGCCTTTCCAGGTAATGGAGGCACTACAATCTATAAATTCATAACAAATAATTTGTATAATATTATCATTTGTTTGATTTCCACATTTGTCAAATTTATATGAACATATATAATCCATCAACTAACCTTGCTATCTCTTTCTAGTTCATTCCTGAGCCATTCAAAATCGCTATATCTCCTTCTTACTGTTGAATCTTTCACTTTGAAAACTGGGAGATTTGTCTGGAAAAACAATGTAATCTCATTACTTTACTGAACTTATTATTTTGTAAACACATTCAAATTGTAATTATCTAAAATGAATGATTTGTTTATTTGGTATTTCACAACTTAACTTCGTAATGCATTAAAGCTGTTCTAACGAAATTTCAATATCAACTAACATATTAGATGTAAACTTGAAACAAAAAGAAATTGCATCTGTGTAAATGTATTATTCGCTATTGAAATTTCGAAAGATATTTCACGTACGTTAATCTGAGTTCAATAAGTGGACCCAAGAGCACACACGTTTTGTGTATCTGCATATTTTTATCACTGAAAGTCAGATAGCAGCCACAGCCCATAATATATGTGATTGCCGTGCATAACGAAATCGTTACTGTCCATCATTATCGTCGTCGTAGCTACAATTATTTTCTAAATTGCTAAAAAATTACATCTAATACGTAAAATAAGCAGATATACAACAATCAGATGCCGCCTCTAAGTATCCCGATGAATGTAACAATATTGCGATCGAGATCAAGCATCGACTGCAATGCAGTACGTTTTCCACAGAAGGAGATAATCACGAAAAATACGGAAACAAAATAAAGTTAAAATATTCGTAAACCATTGAAAATTGTACGAAATTTAAGACGTAAAAGGTCCACGCAGGTATATGTCACGTTTAAGCGGCAAAAAGAAAGTTTGACAATGCGACGATAGTAATTAGCGAAGACTCGACGCGATGTGACAGATGAAAATAATTCTTTCGGGAGGATGACTTTTACTCACCCTCATGCGAACTTCGTAATCGGTATACCGTTTCTTGCCGACGCCGTGTGTGATTGGATTAATCACGTCAATCTCGAGGAAATTTGCAGGCGCTGCATAAGCGTCGTCCAGGGTTTGTTTTTTAACGTTTAAACGACGTGTCGCGTCTACGGTCGTATCCGCCATACCTTTCGATTACAAACTGAATAAACCACTTAAAAGTCAGCTAAAAAATAAATCCGACACGGTGGATAACGTGAGTTCGCCAAATGACAGCGGTGAGAAACTTGACACAATTCGTTCTCATGTGTTACGTCCGTGGTCATGGTGCAGGCTAGTGGAGATAGAGTGGAAACTTACGAATCGTGCTACGTATTTCCAGGGCTGACTCTACGGACTATCTGTTGGGCGCCTTTTGCCAGGGGCGCTGAAGTAAGAGAGAAAAAGAAGGCAAACTAAACGTAGTTAACTAACAAAACTCCATTGTCGCATTCAAACGTAATTTTTCATACAAACTAAGTTGAAAGTTACATCGGGGCACTGGTAACTGCCTCCCTGGACATCTGTATTACGTTCTCCAGAAGATTATCGATGAGTAATTCGTTGTATTTTGTATGTATTGTGAAAAATTAAATTAAACTTTATTATTTTTCGATAATCTTGCCAAGGATATATATACTTATAGTTACTTGAAATTAATGAACAAACTTTGTTGGTAAAGTACAGGAGAATCAACTGATAGTTCAACGTCGACTCTAGATATCGTATGGTTTATGAAAAGAACGGTGCTATTTAAAAACATTTAAAAATTGATTATATATCAGTTGCTGTAGTTACTGGTGATATGCCTGAAATAGGGCAAACACTGATGTACCGAAATAGAACAACTTTCCGTAGAAATAACGTTCGATTTGCGCTATTAGATTGACGTAAAAATAAAACTCGAAACGATTATAAAAGAATGCGTAATTGAAATATGAAAGAAACGAATTGCATAACGACACGTACTCGATTGTGATTAATCGTTACGAGTTTTGTTACTGGATACCCTCGGCGCTTAATTACCACAATGCAATCACAATTGATATTATATCGGGAGAAATGACAATTTTCATGATAATTTTGTACGCATACGGATCGAATAAAAATTGTTGAAGCATTACAATATTTGTCCTAAAAATAAATGCTCCTCTAGGAATGGTCGACGAAAGCTACTTCCTTATGGAAGTGGCCTGTGGGAGGAAGCAGGACGTGATGTTTGAGAAAGACTGCGTTAAAGCAACGATATTTATTGTATAAAACAAACGTATCCTCAAACAGTTACACGAACGTGTAATTCTACCGTTGTTTCTCTCGGTAACGATAACATTCTGAAATTTACGACATAGGTACGAGTCGATGGTTAAACATCTGGCTCACACTATTAGATGCGAGACGTCCGCGGTGTAAGCGGCTGGCGATAATCTGATATCATCAGCGCGAGGGATTGGTCGTTGACGGATATCGCTGTCTCCTGGCCATGCACGGCCAGGACTTCTTGGTGCCACGTTAGATCTAGCTACCGTGTCCACCGCTAGGCTCACGGTCGTAGGATCGTTTAGGCCGTTGCTTTGGATCCTTCGTTGAGCGGCTATCGAGGCTCGTAAGGTCTTCCGTTTCTGCGTTTGAAAGAAAAAAAGAGCAAAAGGTGCTCGATTAGAGGGAGCTTCACCGAAAGCTTTAATCAATCGAAAGAAATTTGGCACTCGCTTCTTTGCTTGAACTAAATACTATAGGACTTACATGTTATAATGCGATATTTCGATGTACAAAACTATAATCATACTTTTGCGGCTCTAATAATAGCGTAGTAGTAATCTGAAGCTTAATTTTAAACATGACGAAGCCGACTTCAAAAATACTTAATGCCAGATAAGTGAAGCGATTTAGGTGCAAGATACGACGTGACGATTGGTCACCGAATTTCCTTTCAACGATCGACGTCGTATTTTGCACCGGTTTTAGTAGAAGCCTGACTACTTGTATCATCCCTAAAGCATGTGTAGCGGAACTTGTGCTCGAATCTATGGTGTGTGTTTATTGGACGATCGTGTATTTATATTGTTACTAGGTCTCATAGTATTCCCACGCGTCGCTCCTACTTCGTCCTGGCTGCCTGCGGTTTACTGATAAACACAGAATTCTGAGGAAAGGACAGCGAAAGATATCGGAAAGATGTTTGATTACGCCAATGGAACTGCGCTTAGGTTTCTTTACCTCGATCGCGCCTCTCCATTTGTCCGCAGCGTGTCTCGCCAGTTCCATCTTCTTTTGCTTGCGGATCTGGTGTTTCTTGTACGCCACCTCGATGATAATCAGACCGATACCACCGATGATTCCGACACCCACGACTATGAACACACCGGCCATGTTCTTCAGGCCCAAGGTGTTGGGCATTTTCTCGAACTGCTCGCACTGTTGCACGTTGCCCTGGAGGATCCAATGTTTGTCGAGATCCTCCATGAAACCGCCTGAAGGTGCGGAATACGGTATAGTAGGTTCGTAAATTCTTGGCAAGTATACAAGTGTACAAGTACATTAATGAAAACTTTGCGTGACTTTAAAGTAGCCTCTAACTGTTTAGAGCAACGAGCGAGCCTTACTTTCGTGAAAGTCCAAGATGGCCAGGGTCACGGCGTCAGCCCATAAAGACCCCTTTTGCAAGCCAATTCCATAACCAGACCGACCAAACAGTTCTCCAGCTGTTACCAATTCGCAGTCCTGGGCAGCCTCGAATTCCAGTCGAGAACTGTCCCAAATGAAGGCCATAAGTTTCCTGCGAGTAGATTGTTCTCAATGCAACTGATTTCCAGGCGACGACATCAAGAAAAATTTTGTCAAGGCCTCGTTCGAGCTCCCCTACCCAATTTTTATATCTCTGATAGCGTCTTCGGCAGTGTCGTAATTGTTGGCTTCCATCGTGCGATACATGTTCGACAGCTCGACCTGTCGACGGAAGTACATGTCCACGGATGAACCCTTCACCGTGGCGCACGTTAGGTTCTCCATGGTGTTTCTGAGCTGCGAACGTAACGTTAAATTTCCGTCAGCCGTGCAACATTTCTGCTACCTTGACTAAAATCAATACTCAACGGCAGCAATTGTAACGATAGCGTATTCCGCGCGATATATGCATCGAATGCAGGGATTTGTCCTCGACGAATCAGATCGAGCTACGTTAGCTACGTTAGCTACGTCGTTTGGAAAACATTTGTTAAATTTGTTGTATTCTTACTCGAGCGTCGTTGATCCCAGTCAATTTTGTTTTTGGTCGTTCCAACACCAAGAACGCGGCCAGGTTGGCAGTGTAAGATGCCACAATAATCATCGCGAATCCTGCCCAGACCATGCCCAACACGCGAGCAGAGAAGCTTCGCGGAGTACCTGGGAAATCGTCGAGAATCGAATCGTCGTTACGTACAATATATTCATGAAATGCTTCGAAAAGTCTCGTTATCGCGACGACGTATCAGGGGGCACGAGAATATCGATATATTTTCACGCAACTACGTTTCTGTTGTCCCTTGTTTGATCGATTTAATTACGCTTCGGTTGGCAAAAGAAGATAATAGCACTCGCTATAAATACATTTCCCGAAGGTTCGACACTAATGATCGCCGAGAAGTTACGCTGCCCGAGGCAGTAACAAGCAAAGTACGTGCATTCTTCTATTCGCGGAATGACAAAAGGAATCGATTTGAGTACGAGGAAAAGAAATGTAATTGCACTTTTCCATGAAGAATTAGCATAATTGCGCTTTCCACGTGTATCGTTGCACCGATGGGAGAAAGGCAAGGTTGTTGGAAGGACGGATCTTGTCGTACAATTTGTTTCTCCGTCATTTCGATCTATTTTCAACCAGGAAACACGGTCATTCGGAATTGTGTACCCCATCCTGTCGGTAATTCGATCCTAGTAATTCAATTAACTGGGTAAGCATCGCGAACCTTCTCCGATGCCACTGTTGAGCAGGACTCCCCAGGCGAACCAAACGGCGCTGGACAAGTTGAGGGCGTCCTCTTCGGTACCGTCAGTGTTTGCTAGCTTGAACCTCCCGAAAGGCGAGAACCGGTCGAGGAGGTACAGAACTAGAGCCACTACGTGCACCGACACCATCACCAGTATCCAAAGGGTGTTGCTGAATGGTTGGAGGAACGATACCAGGGTCGACGATCTTGATGGCTAAAGATCGACGCGTCTTTTTAATATCGTTACCATTTCTATACTTGATACATCGTTTGCTCCATGCGTATACCGTACCTTCTTTTCAAGAATGGTGATGCCCTGATACTTAAAGGGCTTGCTGAATTCGATGAACTCTGCGCGCTCCGGATTGATCGTTAACGGTGCAACGATCATGTCTGCTGTCTCGTTGACCAGCTCTCCGATCAGTCCTGTCCACTCTTTCTTTCCTCCGACTGTAGAAATCCGTAATCTTTTAACTTGAGATCGTTTTTTAAATACTGCGTATATTCGTGGAGGTTCTTAAATTTACTTGTGATATATTTACTTAAATAGCTTCACGCCGCACCTGAACTATTTTTTATCACGTAGCTGCCGAATTGTCCATCGGGGGAGAGGGCTAAGCTGTAGGTGAAATTGATAGTTTTCGACAGTTCTTTCAACAAGTCCATGCAGTATCCCTTGCAGCAGAATGTTCTTGTCGCTGAAAAACGTTTAAACGAGTTGCAGAGAGTAGCAAAAATATGCATAAAGGATTGTTACTCGATGCAAGATCAATCTTACTGTATAATCTTACTATCGTGTTCGGTAGCGTTAAAATGAGGGCACAGAATCTCTTCTGGCAGGCAGGGTTCACCGTCGGTGATTTCACGAACGTAGACAAACGGCTTCTCCTCGATTGTGAGCACTTTTAAGTGCGTAGGGATCATGAAACCCTCCGGTTTGGCGCTTACTCGGCCAGGCCACGTTATGTTCGACTCATTCACGCTCAGCTTCATCTTGGTTCCATTCTGCGACATCGTAAGACGATAAACTCACCGATAACGAACTAATATCCAAATTAGACGAACATAGACTATTTTGTTAAAAGCGATAAGACACGTGGGATATTATGTTTTGGCTGACAAATTAGATATGTTATAGCTAAACATGCGGATTTTGTGCATTTATTTAATTTTCTATATTATTGTACGTCATAAATGCATATAATCCACAGTCTAGCTATGACTCATTCATTGGCTTCTCATTTATCTCGTAAGAAAATCAAATTACGTTTCGAGAATCCCTTAATATGCAGTTGTTTTGACTCGACGCGTTCTAGGGTGGGAAAGCAGTGCC